CCACCAGGGGGCGGGCTGGCTGGCATGTGGTGCTGGGGGATTGAACCGCGGTCCCTGTGCTTTGCGTAGCTTAGCTTGTTCTAAGTAGATGCTTTAGACCACTGAGCCATCTCACCAGCCCTGCATCTGTTTTTATGTTTAAAGTCGTAACTGCTTCTTTGAAGCAAAGAAGCTTCCCCCATCTGACACAGGATCTGATGCTGGAGGAGCTTGCCCTTCACCTTCAGCTTCCCATTCAGGGTGCTCCATGCTGTAGATCACCATGACTTTAATGCTCTTGTCTCCTCTGAGCTGGGACCTTTGGATGAGTCATCACACGTGGAGTGAATTATTACAGAGGCATACTTTTCCATTTTGTGCAGTGCTGCGTGGCTAAAGGTGAAATGTAGCCCCAGAGACACTGCAAAGGAACAACCTCTCCAGCAAGAAGGTGCTCCAGAGGAATGTCAGCTGAGGGGCGCCACAGAGCGTGAGGTGGCCAGGTTTGTGCTGGAGCTTTTCAGAGCTCTGAAAACAAAAGGACTCCTTATACAGATTCTAAAGGAAACCCATTCTTGTGTTTCCCATAGCTAAAGTTGGTTATTTAAAATGTAGATTATTAAGTCTTTCTGTTAAACTATACAGCTTACATGAGCCCTTTTATTCCTGATTTCAGTCATTCAAAACTTATATATATGTTAATTGTGTATCAGGGGCTGGTGAAATGGCTCAGTGGTCTAAAGCACCTACTTAAAACAAACTTAGCAAAGCACAGAGACCACGGTTCAATCACCCAGCACCACATGCCAGCCAGCCCTGCCCCCTGGTGGGCTGAGCTGGCCACACGCACGCGCACACGCGCGCACACACACACACACACAAATTAAATAAATAAATAAAATTTAAAAAATGTGTGTCAGTTGCTGGTTTTGTATGTGACACGGTTGTGGATTCTGTGAAGACCTTAAACAAAAGGGGCAAGTAAGACATAATCCTAGCCCCTGCTTAGAGTCAGCAGGGAAAATATGTAATTGGCTATAATTTAAGGTAGAATGCTATATGTACCCTAAGAACTGAGAGAATTTAGCAGGCAGAGGTTGCTTCTTGCAGTGAAAATCCAGGCTTCATGGAGGGAGATAGAAATTAAACTAGGACTTGTACAGGCAGGATTTAAATATGAGGGCTATGTTGAGAACATTCCAAAGGAAGAGAGCAGTGAAAACAGGTCACTCTGTATTTGTTTTACTGAAATTATTGTCCAATTGTAGAAAAGAAAAATAAAAATGAGGCCCAGGAGATGGCTCAGTAGAATAAGCACTTCTCAGACAAGTGCAAGGGTCTGAGTTCAATCCCTGGTTCTGCAAAAAAAAAAAAAAAAAAGAAAGAAAGAAAGAAAAAGAAAAATGAGTCACTGGAGCTGAGAGTATAGCTTAGTGCTAGAGCACTTCCCTAGGAAACAGTCCTTGGGGAACTTAGTTGAAGATAGAGGGGGAGCATGTTCACCATGGTTCAGTGGAGCTTGATAATACATTGGAAAAGATAGAGGTAGAATAATATGAAGAAGGAAGCAAAAACCAGTAATGCAAGGAGAACAAGGGAGAAAGTCAGTGACTGGAGGCTTGTCCCTTTTCCCTAGCATGCATGAAACCATGTTTGATCCTAGGGCTTAAAAAATAAAAGCACAATCATTAAACAATTTGAAAATATTCATATGCCCTAAACCAAAAGAATCCAGTCCTTTTTGTATACAGTAGCATTATTTGAAGGTAACATTTCCCTTTTGTTTTATTTTTTTTTAATTGTATTTATTTATGTGTGTGTGTGTGTGTATGTGTGTGTGGCCAGCTCAGCCCACCAGGGGGCGGGGCTGACTGGCATGTGGTGCTGGGGGATTGAACCGCAGTCCCTGTGCTTTGCTAAGCTTGTTCTAAGTAGGTGCTTTAGACCACTGAGCCATCTCACCAGCCCCTTTATTTTACTTTATTATACCTACATGGAGATCCACTTATTTGTCTAGACTTGCAAATACAGCTAGGGCTAACATTTGTGGACAGCTTCTTTTTGTTCTGCATACTAATTCAAAGTGCTTTTATACATAAATTTCTTTGTATAGGAAACGTATGGAATGCTGTTATGGGTACAGAGAAGTTACATTTCTTCTTGAGTCTTGAATGGAGGCAGGATTGATGGGGGCTGGGGCCCTTGCTTTTGCTCTGTTTCTGTAGTAATGATGCCCTGCAGCGTTGTGGCATAATTGGTTTGACTCTTGCCCTATCTATTAGGCTTGCTTGGCCTGATGCTGAATCTTCCAAAGGTTTGAAGGAACTAGAAGACTTAAACACCAAAGAAATGGACAGAATGCAAAAACAGAGGTAAAGATTTGTTGCTGAAGCAGAAAAAAGTTAAGCAAGCTATGTTCTATATCATTAACTGTCTTTTTTTTTTTTTTTTGGCTGAACTGGGGATTGAACTCAGGTCTTTGAGCTTGCCAGGGAAGCACCTTATTCTACTGAGCCATCTCCTTGGCCTCTCATTAACTGCCTTAACAGCCATTTGAGATTGTTTATTTCCAGCCGTAATTTAATGCTTCTTGGCTTTCTCCTGAAAAGGCTGTGAAGCCACCTAAAAAACAACAGCAGAGCAGAGGTTAGAACCCAAGTGAATCTAACCTTATCTTGAGAATTGGGGTGACCCTTTGTACTGTCCTCTAGGCTCAACTGGCTTGATGCTGAAACTTCTAGGAGAACAAAGGAATTGAATGAATTAAAAAGTGAAGAAATGGATAGAATCCAAAAATTAAGGTATGTATATGCCTCTGAGGAAGAATAGGAAGTGCTTGTTTATTCTGATTGATCCAAATTTAACAATTAACTGGGGCTGTTTAAGCATAACTTCATTATATGAATAAGTGGATACATGTGTGAATTAATGAATGGGCACCCACATGTGTACGTGCCCTGTGTTATTTCTGCTAGATAATGTTTCCTTTCTGTGGAGTTTGAAGAATTGAAAAAACATCTGTAATTTGGGCATAGCCCTGTGTGGAATACTAGACTCTTATATTTGCTTATTTGTTTATATGGTCTCAAAGATTATTTTCCCCAGCCAGGTGCCAGTTCTGCTAAGGGCAGAGAAGGTCAATATATATGTTCTACTTATGTGTGAATGCATAAACACTTTAGTTCCACATGTTTGCTTGAATGCAGTCTAAAATTTTCAAATGAGGTTGATATTTTTCCCCTCATTCCCTTGGAGTGTTACCCCTTAAGGACAGGCCTGAAGAGGTTTATTAAGATTCAGTGGAGCTGCTGCTGCTGGGACTGCTACAGTTGGCTCATTTTTCAGCTCTGATACTCACTCTACAGTCAAATTCCTTATTGAAATGTCCGTATATTCTTTCACCATTCATGACAGTGTGTCCATTTCCAGTTGTAAGGCTTTGGTTCTGTCATTAGAGGGTCAAGATGTTTTGTCCATAGTTAGGATTTCAAGTAATGCAATCATGGAATCTTAGGATTTGAAGGATCTTTTTCCTTCAATTGGTTCTTCTAGAGACCCTGTGATGTTTCCCCAAAGTGATGGTCCAGCATATGCATATACACCCGATGTGATGGAATAATACATACTGTCAGAGGGAGTCTATCCTTGGGTCATGTGTAGCTATTAGAAAGAGTGACTTTAGATTGTCTTGAAATTGGGCGGGGGGGCGGGTTGGTTCTTTTTTTTTTTTTTTTTTTTTTTTTGGCGGAACTGGGGATTGAACTCAGGCCCCTGCGCTTGCCAGGGAAGCACTTATTCCACTGAACCATCTCCCTGGCCCTTGTCTTGAAATTTGATTCCCTGATTCCTTCCCACTTTTCCTTTGGACCATGTAGCAAAAGGATAGTCCTCTTTATCTGTTTTATGATTTTTTTTTTGTCTAAAACATTATCCAAAAAAGTTAAAAAATAAAACATTAAATCTGTTGCACATATAGAAGGACATTCTTTTTTTTTTTTTTTTTTTTTGTATTTTAGGGAGGGGTCTACAGGGTGTTCAGGGTCTCACTACTAGATCGGACTCATACTGATCTGCCTGTTTACAGCCTCCCAAGAGCTGGGATTACAGGTGTGCACCACCATGCCCAGTTTCTAGAAGGACATTCTAAATGCACATATATAACCCAGAATATTACAAGATGAATACTCAGGTACCACTAAGAAAATGACTGTTGCCACTACTGTAGAAGCTTTCAGTGTGCCCCTCTATCTTTCCCTTAGAGGTGGCCACTACCCTGATTCCTGTATTACCTTTCAGTATCCTTCATAAGTCTAGCACCTATGCATGCATCCTTACCAGTAGTATACTTCTAAATTTTGAAAATTGGGGTGCACAAATGTAGCAGAACAAGGAAGACAGTGTTGTTGGCATTAGATGAAGACTCTATGGGGTGTGGAGAATAGGTTCCACAGAGTCTCAGTCACAGTCTGACTTATACTTTCTTGGGAGATTTTAGGAGGCCATCCCAGGAACCCAAGAAGCAAGCTCTTGCATGAGTCCTAGCAGATGCAGGGCTTGTCATCTCAGAGGGGTTGTGGTCCACTGGACTGGAAGAGCCTGATTGGGATGGGGCTGACTTTTTATGCTCTGCTTCTCAGCTTCTTTCAGCCACCCTTTGTGGTCACAGAGGAAGAGCAGGAACGTTATCAGCATCAGGGACAGAGGAACTGCTTAGCAGGCCTGACTTGCTTACGTGGTTTTCCATACTGTGTTGTCTTCTGTGTCTTAGTTTACTTGCTTGTTTTGATAAAGCACATCCTAATTTAGTTTCTTGAGAAAGGATGAATGGAAAATAAATCTCTCACACCTTTCAAGTCTAAAAATGTTTTTATTCTACTTATGTTTACTGATCATCTTACTGGATATAACTTTTTTTTGTGACGGAACCGGGGATTGAACTCAAGCCCTTTTGCTTGCCAGGGAAGCACTTATTCTACTGAGCTATCTCCCCAGCCCCAAGTGAAGATTATTTTAATGGAAAATTTTAACTAACTTTTCTAGGTAATTGTACATTTAGGCCAGGTGTTGTGGCACACACCTGTAATCCCAGCACTTGGGGGCCTAAGGCAGGAGGATCATCATGAGCTCAAAGCCAGCCTGGACAACATCATGCATTCATACGAAGTGATGATATGTAGAGCAATCTTGAGTTTCCTTTATCCAACATTTTTGGAAACTGTAATACAGTACTATAGCCAGGATGTTGACATTGATATAGTGAGGATACACTTGATTGATATCAGTGTAGTCAAGAACATTTCCATCACGACAAAGATCCACCGTGTACCCTTGCACAGCCACACCTATGTCTCTTCTGTCCCCATGCACTACTTGGCTAAATAACCTATGACATGTTCTCCCTGTTCATTTTATTTCAAGATTGTTAGATAAGTGGAAATATGTAGTATATAACCTTTTGGAATTGACTTTTGTCTTCTTTCCTCTTATATAATCCTCAGGAGATTCATCCAGGTCATTGCATTTATCATTTGTTCATTCTTTTCATTGCTGCAGAGCCATCTGTGATGCAAGGATAGTATCATTTGCCTAACCATTTGCCTGGCTAAATACCTGAGGGACATCTGGCTTATTTCTAGTTTTCAGATACTAGAGTAAAGTTTCTGTAAATGTTAGTGTTTGCATGAATATAAGCTTTCATTTGTCTGGGTTAAATTCCTTGAGTATGACTGCTGGCTTGTGTGTTGTGTGTTTAGTTTTGTACAAAACTGCCAAAGTTCCAGAGTAGTTCACCCTGTTCCCACTAGGCGTTTTTGTTGGTTGGTTGGTTTTGGTTTTATGAGACAGGGTCTTGCTCTGTAATTCAGGCTAGCCTTAAACTCACTGTGTAGCCCAAACTAACCTCAAGTTCATGGTGGTTCCTCTGCCTCAGCCTCCCAGGTGAGCTTACAGACCTGGACCTCCATACCTGCCTTTTCAACATTTTGTTACTGTGCTTATTTTTCTGTCCACTCTGTCTTTGTCTGTCTTCCTAGGCTGCCCCTCTCTTGGACCTTTTGCTGAAGCAAGTGGGCTTTTATTTTATGTAGTGTGTTGTTCTGGATTGCTGGCTTTTCCATTTTCTACTGTGGGGAGATATGAGACAAAACAGAAAACCCAGGGAACTGAGCACCATGTCATGTTTTGGGTCCCCACAGTCCTGCTGGTCAATCTTCACATCCTCCTTTGTTGGTTTATTTTTAATATCTAGTGTTCTTAGTTGTATTTAATAGGCATAATATAAGAAATATTCCTGCAGCAATGTATATTCTTCTTTTCTACAGTGCTCTAAAATTTTATAGCAGTAGGACTTTGTGATGTTTTCCTGTATTTTCTTGTAAGTATTTTGTAGCTTTAAGGTCTGTGATCCACTTTAAATTAATTTTTATATATGAGATGAGATACTGATCACAGATTGTTTATCCCTTTATGTATATCTATCTATTCCAGCACCAGTTGATGAAAGGATTGTGCTTGACCATCTTGGTGGACTGTTGAGGGCCCTTGTTGATCTTTCACTCTTACTTTTCATATGGGTCAGACTGTCCAGGGAAAATGTCTTTGATATTTTGCTCAGAAGATAAGGATCTGGACACAGGTGCCCTAGGAACTGAATTGGGGAGGCAGCTGTGGGTCTGACTCCTCAACATTCAGCTCCCTTCTTTTCAGTACGGTACCGACAGCCGTCACTGTGACTGGTCACTCCTAGACCAGAGACCCTTCAGAGAATGAGCAGAGAGACTTGGAGGTGGAGAGAGGCAGTTGTCAGAATGTGTGAAGTTGGGCAAGGGACCTAGGGACCTGACTCTCTAGATGCTATTTGACTCTTGCTTCCATTAGCCACCCTCTCCCAGTTTTCCTCAGGCCTAGAAATGGCCAGTACTGCCAGTGACATGACTGTTTAAAAAACTCATCGGTACTGAGTATGTGGTTCTCAATTTCCCACATTCCTGGCCTAAGATTCAGCTTTCTTGGGCCAGCTAAATTAACACTTTTGTCCTTTTTCACACAGCACATTTTTTTTCCTCCTTGTCTTTGTGGGTTTATATCAATTCTGCTGTTCTAGTAGGGATTTTAAAATGAACAGTTAGTTTCTTTGGCTCAGAATGTTTAGAGACAGGCTGAACCTATTTTAAATTATCCTCAGAATCTGACACACTTGTCCAGATGTGACCTGAGCCCTTATACTCGAAGTAAGTGGGGTCCAGCCCAACAGTGTTGTATCACCTGTGTGTTTGTTGGAACTCCAACAGCTAGACATCCTTGGGACGAAATGAATCAGAATATCAGAATCTACAGATTAACAAGATTCCTAAGGGATTTGTATGGGCATTACAGTTAAAGAAACACTGTGGGTTTTGATGATTTGGTTTCTCTTCATCTAGAGTAGACAGACCAATATGCAAATTGGGCTTTTGACTTGATTTTTTAATTTTATTTCTAGTGTCTCTGCCTCCCAGTTAGCAGACAAGGTAGAGGCGGCAGTTCTGGAGCGTTTGAAGCCCCTCTTGGTCAAGGCCCAGGTAATCTGGTTTATTCTGTTTGTTTGCTTTTTATAAATTCTGTAGTGCAAAAGAGTTGCTGCAAAGATCACACAGACCCCCTGAGGGTGAGGTGTCTGTTTGGCAGCCAGAAGCTATAGTGCTGATCAGCCTGGGACGCAGAGCTCGGGCACAGAGTTGCTGTGTCTCGACATCCCTAGCTGTCATATATGATTGCTGTGTCCTCTGTCATATGGAAGAGGTAAAGGTGAAGGGCAGAGAAGAATGTCCTGCTCTTGAGAAAGGTGAGAGTTTAATTTAGAGAACAAGTTTAGATTGCAGTTTCCATGCCTAACCAAGTAGATCTGTTGGTGATTTAACGTTCCATTAACCTCTAACACTGTCCTTGCTCACCTCGGTGGTTTGGAATAATTCACTCTATTTTACCCAAAGATAGAGTGAATAGGACATGTCTATACACAGTACTTTCTTGAAGATGAAAAGGCACATGGCACTATGTGAGATTGTACAGTCATTTTATAAGCAATGAGCTAAATGAATCCTGTAGCCAGATTCTGTATAGAAACCATTGCATTGGGGTAAGATGAGGCCACAGAAAAATATAATTTTAAATGGGATGAATAGCATTCTGTGTCCCTGCACAGACCTCTGAATTTTCATATTTCCAGGTTAAGAAATGTTAAATTATTAGAGTCCTCAAATGAAATCTCAGAAGTGTTGACCTAGGAGACCTCTTGGAGGTGAAAAGCCCAGCCTCCACATTTTATCATTACAGAAACTGTGGATCAGAGAAGTTGAATGACTTGCATAAAAGCACACAGCTACTCTGGCAGTGTTTACAGAGTTGGAGGAAAGAGTGTGCAGAGCCAAGAACAACACATGGCATTTATTTTCTTGAAGACAGAGTGCTTTAATTGCTGCAAAAAGCCTAATGCAGCTTGAGCTGATGAATAGTTGTACACAGAAGTTTTTCTAGTAACAGGATTCTTTTGTGCTAATATGAGGTGTAAGTTTTTATAATCCATGAATGTATTTGTCCATTTTAATAGAGAGTTAATTCTTCTGTGGAAGCAATTACGCCTGTGCAGGATCGTCCGTCATCGAATGCAGCAGCACCCGAGCCTGCAGAGCAGGTGTGTGGTTGGTGTTGGGGTATTATTACATGATAATATCTCTACTTGAAGGAAAATGGTGTGCAGATTACTTAATAAACAATATATTATCCTACTCGCGGCAGATGAAAATTATTTTTCACGTCTGGCATGTTAATTTTTACAGGATTTATTTAGCATTGTGATTTAGATCAGCCTTACAAACAGCACACAAATACCACTAGAGCCACAAGACTTTGTCATCGGCTCTTTTATCTCCTGCTGACCACAAAATGTGGGTGCACTGTGGCTGGCCCTGAGCATTTATACCCTACGCCAGAAGAATAGCTGCCCTTATTTCCTTTCTTCCACTCATACTGTCCTAATTTCCTTTATACTTGGGGCCTAGTGCTTCTGTTAGGCAAGCATGCTTAGTATGTGGCCCATATCTGGCCTGGCAAAGAGAAGAGAAAGTCCAGGAAAAAAATGAAAACAGTTAAGAAAAAGAAGAACATTTTGTTGTTGTACACTCTATGCGCTTCCTCTGGAGAACTTGCTTCTCGTGTTTGGGGGAAGGCTCCTGTCTTGTTCAGGCTTGTCTGTGGTATACAAGTTGCATTCATTGATCTGTGCATCATAGCCACTAATGACCTCCACCTCCCTCTGCAATAATGGGCTAATACCTAATATGTGGAGGCCACAAAGTTGCCTAGAAAGAAAAACAAAGTGACTGTAAATGCTGACAACAAAATACACATGTCTGAGTATTACTAGGAACATTCATGTTAGAATTAGGCTTGAAATCATCTTTAGTACAATTTATTGAAAGAGAAGAGTAACTTTGGTGTTTAGAATTCTGGGATGTTATAAATATTATCATCAGGGGCTGGGGAGATAGCTCAGTAGAATAAGTGCTTGCCTGGCAAGCAGAAGGTCCTGAGTTCAATCCCTGGTTCTGCACCAAAAAAAAAAGTTTGGGAGGGGCGGGGGAGATGGCTCAGTAGGATAAGTGCTTGACCGGCAAACACAAGGATCTGAGTTCAATCCCCGGTTCCACCAAAAAAAAAAAAGTTTGGGGCTGGGAGATGGCTCAGCAGAATAAGCACTTCCCTGGCAAGCACAAGGGCCTGAGTTCAATCCCTGGTTCTGCACCAAAAAAAAAAGTTTGGGAGGGGCGGGGGAGATGGCTCAGTAGGATAAGTGCTTGACCGGCAAACACAAGGATCTGAGTTCAATCCCCGGTTCCACCAAAAAAAAAAAAGTTTGGGGCTGGGAGATGGCTCAGCAGAATAAGCACTTCCCTGGCAAGCACAAGGGCCTGAGTTCAATCCCTGGTTCTGCACCAAAAAAAAAAGTTTGGGAGGGGCGGGGGAGATGGCTCAGTAGGATAAGTGCTTGACCGGCAAACACAAGGATCTGAGTTCAATCCCCGGTTCCACCAAAAAAAAAAAAGTTTGGGGCTGGGAGATGGCTCAGCAGAATAAGCACTTCCCTGGCAAGCACAAGGGCCTGAGTTCAATCCCTGGTTCTGCACCAAAAAAAAAAGTTTGGGAGGGGCGGGGGAGATGGCTCAGTAGGATAAGTGCTTGACCGGCAAACACAAGGATCTGAGTTCAATCCCCGGTTCCACCAAAAAAAAAAAAGTTTGGGGCTGGGAGATGGCTCAGCAGAATAAGCACTTCCCTGGCAAGCACAAGGGCCTGAGTTCAATCCCTGGTTCTGCACCAAAAAAAAAAGTTTGGGAGGGGCGGGGGAGATGGCTCAGTAGGATAAGTGCTTGACCGGCAAACACAAGGATCTGAGTTCAATCCCCGGTTCCACCAAAAAAAAAAAAGTTTGGGGCTGGGAGATGGCTCAGCAGAATAAGCACTTCCCTGGCAAGCACAAGGGCCTGAGTTCAATCCCTGGTTCTGCACCAAAAAAAAAAGTTTGGGAGGGGCGGGGGAGATGGCTCAGTAGGATAAGTGCTTGACCGGCAAACACAAGGATCTGAGTTCAATCCCCGGTTCCACCAAAAAAAAAAAAGTTTGGGGCTGGGAGATGGCTCAGCAGAATAAGCACTTCCCTGGCAAGCACAAGGGCCTGAGTTCAATCCCTGGTTCTGCACCAAAAAAAAAAGTTTGGGAGGGGCGGGGGAGATGGCTCAGTAGGATAAGTGCTTGACCGGCAAACACAAGGATCTGAGTTCAATCCCCGGTTCCACCAAAAAAAAAAAAGTTTGGGGCTGGGAGATGGCTCAGCAGAATAAGCACTTCCCTGGCAAGCACAAGGGCCTGAGTTCAATCCCTGGTTCTGCACCAAAAAAAAAAGTTTGGGAGGGGCGGGGGAGATGGCTCAGTAGGATAAGTGCTTGACCGGCAAACACAAGGATCTGAGTTCAATCCCCGGTTCCACCAAAAAAAAAAAAGTTTGGGGCTGGGAGATGGCTCAGCAGAATAAGCACTTCCCTGGCAAGCACAAGGGCCTGAGTTCAATCCCTGGTTCTGCACCAAAAAAAAAAGTTTGGGAGGGGCGGGGGAGATGGCTCAGTAGGATAAGTGCTTGACCGGCAAACACAAGGATCTGAGTTCAATCCCCGGTTCCACCAAAAAAAAAAAAGTTTGGGGCTGGGAGATGGCTCAGCAGAATAAGCACTTCCCTGGCAAGCACAAGGGCCTGAGTTCAATCCCTGGTTCTGCACCAAAAAAAAAAGTTTGGGAGGGGCGGGGGAGATGGCTCAGTAGGATAAGTGCTTGACCGGCAAACACAAGGATCTGAGTTCAATCCCCGGTTCCACCAAAAAAAAAAAAGTTTGGGGCTGGGAGATGGCTCAGCAGAATAAGCACTTCCCTGGCAAGCACAAGGGCCTGAGTTCAATCCCTGGTTCTGCACCAAAAAAAAAAGTTTGGGAGGGGCGGGGGAGATGGCTCAGTAGGATAAGTGCTTGACCGGCAAACACAAGGATCTGAGTTCAATCCCCGGTTCCACCAAAAAAAAAAAAGTTTGGGGCTGGGAGATGGCTCAGCAGAATAAGCACTTCCCTGGCAAGCACAAGGGCCTGAGTTCAATCCCTGGTTCTGCACCAAAAAAAAAAGTTTGGGAGGGGCGGGGGAGATGGCTCAGTAGGATAAGTGCTTGACCGGCAAACACAAGGATCTGAGTTCAATCCCCGGTTCCACCAAAAAAAAAAAAGTTTGGGGCTGGGAGATGGCTCAGCAGAATAAGCACTTCCCTGGCAAGCACAAGGGCCTGAGTTCAATCCCTGGTTCTGCACCAAAAAAAAAAGTTTGGGAGGGGCGGGGGAGATGGCTCAGTAGGATAAGTGCTTGACCGGCAAACACAAGGATCTGAGTTCAATCCCCGGTTCCACCAAAAAAAAAAAAGTTTGGGGCTGGGAGATGGCTCAGCAGAATAAGCACTTCCCTGGCAAGCACAAGGGCCTGAGTTCAATCCCTGGTTCTGCACCAAAAAAAAAAGTTTGGGAGGGGCGGGGGAGATGGCTCAGTAGGATAAGTGCTTGACCGGCAAACACAAGGATCTGAGTTCAATCCCCGGTTCCACCAAAAAAAAAAAAGTTTGGGGCTGGGAGATGGCTCAGCAGAATAAGCACTTCCCTGGCAAGCACAAGGGCCTGAGTTCAATCCCTGGTTCTGCACCAAAAAAAAAAGTTTGGGAGGGGCGGGGGAGATGGCTCAGTAGGATAAGTGCTTGACCGGCAAACACAAGGATCTGAGTTCAATCCCCGGTTCCACCAAAAAAAAAAAAGTTTGGGGCTGGGAGATGGCTCAGCAGAATAAGCACTTCCCTGGCAAGCACAAGGGCCTGAGTTCAATCCCTGGTTCTGCACCAAAAAAAAAAGTTTGGGAGGGGCGGGGGAGATGGCTCAGTAGGATAAGTGCTTGACCGGCAAACACAAGGATCTGAGTTCAATCCCCGGTTCCACCAAAAAAAAAAAAGTTTGGGGCTGGGAGATGGCTCAGCAGAATAAGCACTTCCCTGGCAAGCACAAGGGCCTGAGTTCAATCCCTGGTTCTGCACCAAAAAAAAAAGTTTGGGAGGGGCGGGGGAGATGGCTCAGTAGGATAAGTGCTTGACCGGCAAACACAAGGATCTGAGTTCAATCCCCGGTTCCACCAAAAAAAAAAAAGTTTGGGGCTGGGAGATGGCTCAGCAGAATAAGCACTTCCCTGGCAAGCACAAGGGCCTGAGTTCAATCCCTGGTTCTGCACCAAAAAAAAAAGTTTGGGAGGGGCGGGGGAGATGGCTCAGTAGGATAAGTGCTTGACCGGCAAACACAAGGATCTGAGTTCAATCCCCGGTTCCACCAAAAAAAAAAAAGTTTGGGGCTGGGAGATGGCTCAGCAGAATAAGCACTTCCCTGGCAAGCACAAGGGCCTGAGTTCAATCCCTGGTTCTGCACCAAAAAAAAAAGTTTGGGAGGGGCGGGGGAGATGGCTCAGTAGGATAAGTGCTTGACCGGCAAACACAAGGATCTGAGTTCAATCCCCGGTTCCACCAAAAAAAAAAAAGTTTGGGGCTGGGAGATGGCTCAGCAGAATAAGCACTTCCCTGGCAAGCACAAGGGCCTGAGTTCAATCCCTGGTTCTGCACCAAAAAAAAAAGTTTGGGAGGGGCGGGGGAGATGGCTCAGTAGGATAAGTGCTTGACCGGCAAACACAAGGATCTGAGTTCAATCCCCGGTTCCACCAAAAAAAAAAAAGTTTGGGGCTGGGAGATGGCTCAGCAGAATAAGCACTTCCCTGGCAAGCACAAGGGCCTGAGTTCAATCCCTGGTTCTGCACCAAAAAAAAAAGTTTGGGAGGGGCGGGGGAGATGGCTCAGTAGGATAAGTGCTTGACCGGCAAACACAAGGATCTGAGTTCAATCCCCGGTTCCACCAAAAAAAAAAAAGTTTGGGGCTGGGAGATGGCTCAGCAGAATAAGCACTTCCCTGGCAAGCACAAGGGCCTGAGTTCAATCCCTGGTTCTGCACCAAAAAAAAAAGTTTGGGAGGGGCGGGGGAGATGGCTCAGTAGGATAAGTGCTTGACCGGCAAACACAAGGATCTGA